ATATATATTTAATAATTTTCAATTTTTGCATTGTGTCTGAATTATTTATAACATGCAAATAAAAATATACTGTTTTTGAATTAATTTTTGCGCATGAATAAAACTTTGAAATGAAAAGGGCAGTAAAATGAGCAAAAATAAAGAAAATGACAGTAGAAATAATTTTTAAAATATAGTATTTTGAATATTATTTTAAATATATAACAATAATATAAGTTAAAAATAATGTAAAAAAATCTTTATGCTTGAAGTGGTTGAGTAAAAAAAACATATTTTAGAGAAATATTACATTTTATTCTGCAACTGAATTCATACATTTATTTTATTTTATTTTTTTATTATCTGGCATTTTTTAGTAATTTTTGAAGTTAAGCTATTTCATAAATGCATAAAGAGATTTAAAATAAATCTTTCCAAAAGCTTAAAAGGGCTAAGTGAGTGAGATAAAATATTGAATACTTCTCTTTTTTTAAAAAAAAGTAAGAAACCATTTAGGTTTAAAAATTAAATATTTAATCTCATTGTGTGCTAAAAATGTTCAGATTAGCGTACACTTTAGTCTATTATATTCATAATAATAATCTGAAAAAGTATAAGTATTATAAGTACAGTAATAGATAAATTTATACGTACTGCGATTATATTTTAAACAGGCACATTGATGATTAAAAAACTAAGACATTTAAAGGTTCTGGTTTTCATAACGATTTTTGCTTTTTGCTCAAATCGCATTTCTGAAAATTTATTTTAATTTAGGTTTAAAAATATCTATATAAATAAATTTCAAATATGTACTTAAGTAAAAGGTCATAACTTGACTGTGTTTTGAACTGTGACATTACTGATCAATCATAGTCAAACTTGGACGCTTAATTGTTCAGACTTTAATTAAAATTAAGCCTTTTTATGACTATGAGAGATTTTCAATATTTTAATTGGAGTTAAAAACAGCTATAAAAATATAAGCATTTCAAATGTATGCGAGTTTAATTTGTCAGGCCTTATTTAGAATGTTTTTGACGTACGCCTGTTTAGGCAGAGGGGGTGCGATTGTTCTTGTTTTCCAGTGGCGCCATATATGGCCAAGAATTCGACTTCTGTCACACCATACGTCGCTCCCGTTTATAGNTATACCTTTACTGCCCGAAAGCAGTCAAAATGACTGCATTGTGAAACAATAACTAATTTGTAATGAAATTTGTTTAAAATTAACTTTTAATATTTTTTATATTATTTACAGTTATATAACAAGTTATTAGTAAATATTAACAATAAAAAAAATTATATGTTGTACAAAAAGTCACAAAATTCTAAGAAATTGTGTCATCATATGCATCATTGTTTTTCTAATTGAAATTAAAAAGCAGTCTAGCGTTAAAGGCACAGGTCTTTTTTATAGTGAATTGTGATTTTCCTCAATTCGCATAAAATTTCCGAAAATTTATCTTAATTTAGGTTCAAAAAATATCTATATAAATAAATTTCAAGTATATACTTAGGTGAAAGGTCATAACTTGACTGTGTTTTGAACTATAACAAAATTGATCAAACCATAGTCAAACTGGGACGTTTAATAGTTCAGACTTTAATTAGAGTTAAGCCTTTTTATGACTATGAGAGATTTTCAATCTTTTAATTGGAGTTAAAAACAGCTATAAAAATATAAGCATTTCAAATGCATGCGAGTTTAATTTGTCAGACCTTATTTAGAATGTTTTTGACGTATGCCTGTTTAGGCACAGGGGGTGCGACTGTTCTTGTTTTCCAGTAACGCCATCTATGGCCAAGAATTCGACTTCTGCCATATCCATACATCGCACCCGTTTATAGGGAGGACCCATTTATGTATCTATTCATACATCAACAGATCGTAATTTTGATCTGAATCAAAAAACTCAAAGTAACCTTGAAATATATTAACAATTGTAAGAAGAAAAATTTTTTTTAATTAAAATTTATTTCGTTAATGCCTATGATTGAAATTTAAATGTATAAAATTTTAAAATGTAAGAAAATACTCTTATTTATTTTGCAAAAGAGCAGAAAATAAATCGATAGATCAAAATTTCACGATTTTAACCTTTGTTTAATTTTAAAACTATGACAATCCTTTAGTAATTTCATTCTCAGTTTCGGAAACTACATTAGCTATTCACATATACATTCATAACATAAATAGTTCCCTTCCTCCTTGCCTTACTGGCTAGTAGTACTTTAAAATAACTCCAGAAAGACTGCAGAAGTTTAAGCTTGAAATATTTCGAGATAGAACGTTGGAGTGTTTAGGAATCAAGTAGCCGAAACTTACGTATACCGATAGAAACTCATAGAGAACGAGATATCAAAGCAAGCAGACAGTACATCGATGTCACAATAATTATAGCCTTCGAATATTTATAGCCTCCAAATATAAGTTTGGGTGCACTATTTTTTTGTAAATCGAACACAAATATTAAACTTAGTTTACAGAACACATTTTCTTTAGAACCGTTTGAGAACTTTTTAATTTTAATTACCTCTCAATACCATAAGTATTCGTATCGTCTATCACAGATGATACTTAGAAAATGAATAATGCTTGATATGAAAGAAAGGATACTGCATATACTACTCGAATTGTCAATTCAATGACAACTTTTATATTCAAAATTAGTTTTCAAAAGAGCCGCTCCTCATTGCCCATTTTTAGGATATTGCGACTCTGGAAGGTGTTTCATGAAAATGCAGTTTCAAATTAAAGAATACATTAATTTATTAAAGAATACAATATTTAACTTCAAAAATTTTGATTCTTTAGAGAAAAACTTTTCAAAAAATTCCAAACAAAAATTAACCATTTCTTTCGACCATTGCGCTACAAATACTTGTTTTTTTTTATCTAAAAAGTAACGAAGAAATAAGTAAAAGTACTAAATTTATGAAATAAACGAAGAAATAAGTAACAGTACTAAATTTATGAAATAAACGAAGAAATAAGTAAAAGTACTAAATTTATGAAATAAAGGAGTACATTAAAAGTATCTATTATTTACTTTTACATTCGTTTTAAGTAATAAAAATTATGAAAATTTGTAACAGGTAACTATTTTTTGCTTTAGAAAAGGTTTTAAAAAATTCCAGGAAGAAAAAACAATGATTTATTCTGACATTTTCGTT